CACGAAATATAGCTTAACCTGGGGAGTGAAACGCAAAAAATTGAACTTCCGAAAATCGTAGATAAGCTTCTAAAATTGTACATGAATGCAACGGTCGTCCAGAAATTTTTAGCCTTCCTCAAGATTTAAAAAATTCTACGCAATTTCTCCTTCTCCGAACAGATAGTTTACACAGGGCTGGTTTATAGAATACATCGAATCCTACATATTCTTCATAGAATTCTAAGGCTGACTTTTTTTTAAAATATGTCCAGTGGACGCTCAACAGGGAAAAAAATAAAAACAACCCGCTCATACAATGATAGCCTCGATTACCAGCTTCCTGTAATTCCTCTTTTTTGCCAGTAGCTATTTTAGGCACCTCTCCCCCTTCCCCATTCCTCACCTCCCCCTTCCCAAAGAAAATGACCGCGCGTCTTCCGATCATTTACTCCTGAAACCTGAAACCTGAAATTTTCAATAACAAGGTCAAGGGATTTTACTTCAGTGCAACAAGTCTTAGTTTTCCAATTCGGCAGCATCTTCTACAAAGGTGACGACTTGAGCTGCCTTACGGCACTGCAAAAGGTAGGTTTTTGTACAGATCATAGTACACTGGGGTAGAGTTTACTGCCAGTGAGCTCATAATCACCAATTCGGTGTGAAATGAGCCTTGTAAAGGAAATGGTAGTGTTTCGACCGGCAAACCGGTCAAATACGATTTTGCACCAATACAGTTGACTAATATCAATTAAAATGTAATGTTTATATTTTATATATTCAACCTCTTGAACTCTTAGAACGACGTAGTTAGTGTACGCTGTCTCTCGATCTATGGATGTCGAAGTACAGCGCGCGTCCATGTCTTCGGGCCCCACGTCTTGCGTTGCGCGAGTTCATTTGTTTGATTTTATTTATTGTCAAAAGGCAATTTAGGAATTCATTTCCCGGTGCATCCTTCACTACACTACCCAACAACAAATATCAAGAATTGTGGATAATGGATTAACATCGTTTGGTACGGAAATTGGCTTTTGAAATTTTCATCGCTTTCTTTACTCTGCACCGCTCTCCACTATCTGAACGCTTGGAACAGGCTATCTCTGAAGGGAATGCAAATGAATGTTGTTGTGGTTGTTGTTGTTGACACGTACCGGAACAAATTAATCCCCTCTTTAGTGACTAGGGTCGAGGCTGGATCTGGTCCAATCCGTGTAATTTATTATTAGTATATTTATTATTATTTTTTCCTCCAGCTTTTTTAATACATGATCATTCATCATTATTTTAATTCTAGCCTGCGAGAGCATCCGGTTTTTTCGGCTTTAGTTTCTATTTTCACCCGCCTGGAAAACCTTATTTTTCGGAGGGAGAGAAGTGACGACCGGAAATATGTCTGTGGTTCGCAGCCTATTTTAATTCATGATCATTCATCATTCATAAGGATGAGCCGCACGCAAAGACGGATGGTAATTATGAAAATGACACAAAATACCCCTACAAACATTTAAATGTTTTTGACTAGGGTTGATAAGCCGAATAAGGCCTGTTTCAGTCGCTCGATCATACGACTGTCTCAGACTCGGTAAAAATACCAGGAGATAATTGACCAAAGGTCAGTCATTAATGAAATACTTATCATGTGTATCATGTCTATCATCTACACCAGCGGGTGGGGAGGGGGGGAAGAGACGAGGTCTGGGATCGAGAAACGATGTTCTCACAACTCGCAAAGTGATCACCCAGCTTGGTGGTCAGCGGATAATTACAGTATTTTTCCCACAGTAAATATTTTAGAAGCAAGAATTGAAGCGAGCAGGCAGAGGAAATCAGAAATGCTTAAAAAATTGAAAAAAATCATATCATGCGTCTTTGTTTTTCTTGCATATCGTATTTGTCTTTCGGTACTGAAATGCGGGGGAAACTAAAACGCAACCGTGCTAGATTTTAACCAACAACAACGCGCTCGATGGATTTATTTATAGGTTACATCGTTTTTTCCGGGCAAGGGTAACTTCATGCTAATAAAAATTACTGGAGCAAGTGTCAAATTTATCGGAAGCAAGTATATTCAAGAGAACTTTATAAATATGAGCTTACTGCGCTACATATCATATTAACTGAATGAAAATTAACACTTCATAACATTTCACTTCGTTTATTTCGATCAGTCAACACCTTGAATCCAAAGTTAAAATTCAAAACGATCCTAAAACAAATAACAACTACTACTGAAAGCTCTGTACCTTGAAGCGACTTTAACTTTCCTGAGGTTTGCAGCAAAACACTGCTCGATAGCTCAACTCTTCGGCGGCCTTTTCTTAGCAGCTATACGGAGCTAGCTATATGTTGCATATTCCAAACTCTGCAAAGGGAAATTGTTTAACAGAAAAAGAAAACCACACACTATGTCTGAAAAGCGACATAAAATCAATAAATTTGGGAATTACCAAAATATAATAGTGAGAAACAGTCCCGCCTTCAACCGCCATGTTTTTGTTTTTTCTCAAGACCGTTGATCTATGGCTTTTGACGTAACGCTCCACTGAAAGACAAGAATTAACCCCCGCGTCACTCTGAGGTTATTCTTGAGTTTTTTCTTAGATGACCAAACATCAGCCCCTGACGTTTTCAGTTACTGCTCGTTTATCCCTCACGCGCATTTTGAGACAAGTTTAGTGATATCAGTTACTATGGTTACAAGATATGACGTCATAAGTAGCAGGTGGTCAAGCCGTTTTTAAGTTAAAATGTATGTTTTCTGAACTTCTTTCAACAATAAAGGTAAAGCTGGTGGATAAAATGATGCAAAGTACTTATTTATGTGTTATTTTATGTGTCAAGGACAAAATCCAAGATGGCGACCATGTTTGGTGACGTCACAGGCCTCCGGAAGTGGACTTTTTGCGTTCTTGAGCCGTGATTTTGAACAAATCCTTGGACAAATCGTCTCGTTAAGAGTAAAGAATTTGGTTGCGTCAAGGCATATTAAAAGTTTCAAAGGCTCACTAACGTTTGACGTGCGTTGCTTAAAAACGGCTGTCGTATGAAGGGATTATATATCCTAACGAAGCTCTTACTTGAACAAGGAATTTGGTCTCTCTTTTTCACGATGTATTCACTTTTGAAAGCCATATAAAGGTGGCTCTATCACTGCTATTAACATTTGGCTAAAAGCAGGTTTCATTTTTTTTTTGTAGGGCCAGGTGACTGGTATGGCATTGTCAAGGGCCAAAATAGTCTTCCTTCTGTGTTTCATATTGGCAGCAGTTACCTTAATAATATTCAATCAGTCAGACGTTGTCCACGTTAAGCCGAAAATGAAAAGTGTTCGCTGTACACCAAAGACAGAGTTGAATGAACAGGCGACACCATTCCAAACTAAAGTTAAAGGATTTGTTATGGTACCAGTTGGTCTTCAAAAAACACGGAAATCAAATGGGGCGCACCCATCGAATTCACCGAAGCCAAGGATAATGGAGGACGTGAACAAAAATGAGTCAAGATCTATAAAAAGGAACAACAGTAATAGTGCTTCAAAGCCAAGGAATAAAACAAGCGCTCTGTACACGGCAAAGCCAAAGGTATTCATTATCGGTTAAAATTGTTAAAACCATGCCTCGCTTTCGTGCGTTTTAACAAGAAGCCACACTAAGTAGCTAACAGGAAATGCTGGGCTTTTTTTAAAGCATCGAGGCATGTACAAATTCCTTTGACCAGGAAAACTGTTAGTAAGGAGTGAGAAATGGCGACATATGTGAGACGATGCTCTTGTAAACATGATCTGACATCGGAACATAATAAGCCAGTACAGATTTTAATCGGACCAAATTGAGCAGAGACAAGAATTTTGAAAAAGAAAGGCTCTATAGGTGACTAAGGTATTCTCTACTATCGGTTTCACACTGATATAAACTAAATATTTAAACATAATCTTTACTGCGGCCCTTTTCGACACTTTCTCCTAGATCGATTGGACGGGGAAAAGAGGAGACTAACTCTTTTTGTCACATAAGCGATCCGACTTGCCTGCACTTCAGCGATATGATCGTCGTGTTTAAAATGCTATTTCTTTTAATAATTTCATTTCATTTGTTCACTTATTAATTCATTTATTTCTCTGTAACAGATTACTAAATGGTATTATTCTTCTCAGGAAAAGGTAAACAGTGAAAATTATTCAATTTAATACTTTTTAACCTTATGTCCACCAGCCTTTAGCCCCACCCAGAATAGCCTAAGTGTCAGCTGTTAATTATATTGTAGCACAAAATAAAAGTTAATGTTGGCAATCATTAACCTCTGAGTCTGCAGATTATTGCGGTTAACCCCACGTGGTATTTCCTTATTTAGCACTGTCCCCCAACCAGTGTTGTAAATTATCCCTGAAAAGCCCTGTGGGGAGTGGATAATAAGATATTTACAATATACAATTTACAATTACTGTGCCTTATATATTATGCTAAATGCCCCCTCAGTCAGCACTTTCTTTGATCTCTGCAAGTTCAAACAGCAAGTTAAACTTTTTTGGGGAAGGGGGAAGAGAGATATCTCTTTTTCCCTTAGCCCCAAGGTAGGCCTAACACTCAGGTTACACCACCCAGAAAGGCATTGCAGATTGCAATCAAACTCCAGAATACTCATGATGCTCTATTTAAAGGACTCTAGCTAGAGAATTGTTTTTGAAGACATCTTTTCAATAGCGACAGCATCGGAGTGGGAGTCGTAATCAGAAGCACGGAGGGCTGCGATCTGCTCAACTAAAGAGTTATGATTCCGCTTACTCTGAAGTCGCTTACGATCTAGTTAAAACTAGGGATTTTCTGGCAAGGCACAGCCAAGTTCATATGAGTAATTTGAGGCAATACTCAAAGTGGGAATCGAAGTGGAAACGAACCTTGTCGAATGAGTGTGGGGAAAAAAAATATGTTTATGGATTCCCCGATTTGGAACCTGCCCAAACGCGTGTGGGCAGGTTCATACTCTAGGTTCATTATTTGTGTAACTTGTGGCAATACTCATTGCAGGAATTTAAGTGGGAAAGGTGCAAGAGGCTTATATCTGGAGAAGAAATGCTGAAAAAGACTGGAACCTTGTCGAATGAAACAGATATTCTTGACGAGTATCATCCTGATGAGGATTGCACGCATGTTTTAAGGACTCGATTTCTTCATCATCCAGTTTCTAGAGAGGAAAAGCAGTTACCAATCGCATTTGGATTCACTATTCACAGAGGTGCACGTCTGTTTGAACGTATTCTACGAGCTATTTACATGCCAAACAATGTCTTCTGCATTCATATCGACAAAAAATCTTCAGCGGTTTTTCGTAAAGCAATAGAGGCCATTATACGCTGCCTTCCAAACGTTTTTATCGCAGCAAACAGTGTTGACGTCACCTGGGGACATATTTCTGTAGTTCAAGCTCAATTCAGTTGCATGGAAGAGCTGCTAAAATCACCATCAGTTAAATGGAAATATTACATAAGTTTAGTGGGACAGGATTTTCCTCTTTATGATAACAAACAGATTGTACAAGCGTTACAAGGCCTTAACAACACCAACAGCATACAAAGTTCTCCCGTCCCTAAAAATAATTTGGATCGAACAAAATTTGCTCACATACTGAAAGACCGCGAAGTTTATAAAACAAAAATGCCAAAAGTGCTGCCCCCAAATAACATTTTAATCTATAAAGGATCCACTCACATTATTGCTATCAGAGAATTCGTCGAGTTTGTTCTTCATAACCAAATAGGAAAAGACTTCTACGAATTCTTAAAGGATACTTACGTCCCGGATGAAACGATATATTCATCTTTACAAAGACATCCAGGAGTTCCAGGAGGAATCACCGGAAATCAACCGACATGGATACCACGGGCCTTGTATTGGATTAGTAAGGAAACCCGTGGCATTTGTCGTGGGAAATGGGTGCGACAGCTGTGTTGGATTTCCCTCCAAGATTTACGCTGGGCGCTGGGAGAAGATAAAAAAGACAAACTCTTTGTTCATAAGATTCCATTTAACTTCAGCGAGGAATTAATAGAATGCATTCTTGTGGCAAGGCAAGGAAGGAAGTACGCTACTTCAGCGTGGAAAGAAGATAAGGGAATATCTAAAACGACTAGCATTTTGACTACTGTTCCACCAACGGTAAAGGAAAATGGTCGTCCGCATACAGCGAAGGAAAAGGAGATAGGCCTTCCGACTAAACAAAAATCGAAAGTGTCGGGTAATCGGACTGATACTTCAAAGGATAAGGTCGAAAATGTTCACGGTACACCAAGGCTTAAAGTTATAGGAACTGCAGAGACATCTAATGTTCCAAAACGGCAGGAAACAAATAAAAAGGATGTCCCTAAGACACCAACGCCAAAAGAAATGCAAGAACGCAACACACAAAAAACAAGTAACAATGAAAAGATGAAAAGCAACAAAAAACCAAAATTTAATGAAGCAAGGCCTAGTGGTCCGTTCACGGAAAAACCGAAGGTAACTCCGATTAGATTTCTCCTTGAACTTTACTGCAGGCATTATTTTTTAAGTGCCCATAACCTATTAAGTATACATTACTACGAGAACCTCTGCGAAAAAATTTTTCGATGTGAACAAAACGCGATTTTTTTGAAACGTTCATGTCATTTTGGCACTCCATCAAAACCTCTCTGGAAACAAAGGAGCTGTGACGTAGTTTAAGGAACTATGACGTAAATCAAGGAACACGTGACTTGATATACAGGTACACGAGAGTAGTGTTTTTGTAATATTTATGCTACTTAACAAACTGAAACAGCTGTTAAAAGTATACATGGCAATAAGATGCGTTGCAGTTAGATGCAACAAACAATGGCGACCCTAACAAAAGGATAAACACCCATAAAATTTCGTTTTTCATTTCCCGAATTGTCTAATGACGTCACATATGAGCTTGTCATATGTTTAGCGGAACGAATGTTCCAAAGAAATTTAGACTTGAAAAATTTCTATAAATATCTAGACTCAAAAGAAAAATAAGAGAGTGTTTGCAGTCCATAAAAATACATCACGTTCAAAACGCAACATTTTTTAGTAGAAGTTCTTGTATAGCGCTTAGTGATGTGTTCTTTCAGTTAACAAATTAAAACGTTTTGCGTTTTCTCAGTTAATTTCTTAGCTGAGATCTCTATTTTTCTCTGCACGAACTTTACTAATAATAGTTACAAACTGTCGACGCAATACGTTAATTATCAGCGGTTGATGGTATCCACTGGCAACTGGTTAACCAATTATTTCTGATACTGCCAAACTCAAGTTTACGCCTTTTACGTATTTCTCTGCAATTTAGAAAGAAGCGAAGTCTAAAATTGTCCTCTTCTCTATCTCAAATCATAATCCCGTAACTATTCTGTATCTTAACCATGGTATTCTTCGAGAACTAGGGATTTGAGAAACTATTCTATTTTATAACAATCCGTTAAGCTTTATTGTACTTTAGTAAGTGAATAACGGCACACTATGCCAGACCAAACCGCTAAACCTTCACAATTTCGCAAGCATATTTTATAGAGTGTTTTCATTCACGTGGCCAGCATCTATGCAAATTTATTGGAACAAGAGAAAGGGTTTGCATAAGAAAAGAGTTCAACTCCCAAAGGATTGGTTTGGGACACCAACATGGCCGCTGTTTCATTGTTTTGGGACACCAATATGGCGGCCGTGACATCATGTGAAAACACTCTATATGAAACCGAGAATCGACGATAGGGTCACTCAACAGCACGTACCGCTCTACCCGACATTTAGGGTGGGTACCTTTACTACAATCCAAGGCCAGATAAAAGTCTGGATCATCATGGGCTATTTCGTTTGGAAAAAAAAAACACAAACCCAGAAAAAAGATCATTTTCCATCCATTCGCATAGAAACGGTTCGCACTGTCGTTGTTAATGTTGTGAGTGAACTGATCATTTATTGTAGGGTATAACCCTTGCGAGAAAATTTGCTTATAGCGTCAGCAGACGCCCGTACGTCCGTCCGTACAGTTTGTCGGGGTAGGGGAAGGGGCACCGAGGGGAAGGTAACGGAATCCGACACATACCTAGAGTTTGTCTTAGTGAAAGGCAAACCATCTTACAGTCATGAGCAATAGAGTTGCTCCAGTAAAAATCTTAAAGTTTCTTGTGTTTGAATTACCCCAAAAACAATAACTTTCAAAAAATAATTATTTTAAGAAAAATCTGGGCTTGGAAAATAGTGAGGAAAGGCAGAAGGAGTGCGATTAAATCGCCGAGAGAGACCAACACAGTTCTATTATTTATATATATGTCTATGAAATATAATATTATGCTTTTTCTTCTTTTTTATCAGATTCTTCATTGGTATTATTCTCCGAAGGAAAAGGTAAAGAGTGAAAATGATAGTATTCATCGTCTTAAGGGTTTGTCGTTAATGCTTATCTGATTTGCTTAGCCTTAAATTATGGTTAAACGGGCAACAAAAACGTGCAGCTTGTTTTGCTACCTTGCTGCAAAACCAGTTAAATAGCCATGTTGCGCGTTTTACCAGCCACAAATCAAACTGTCTTGAACCAAATCAGGTTGATGCAGTTTGCGAAAAGTTGGTGCGGAAAGGAGAGAGTTCTTACTACTTTTTGCAACAAAATGTTACGCGTTTTACCGGCCCAAGACAAACTTGCTTTGCTGCAAGTGACTTATCACGTGTATTATGTGACTCTCGTATTCACAAAACTTGTAACAAGAGAAGTTTGAACGTGGCTTTTCAACTCGTTAGGTAGCAATGCTGCTATATAGAAGTTAAGGGATTTTGTTTCCTCTTTCAACGCTGTTTAAGATTTCAATACACAGGTAAGCCTATATGTTCCAGTCTAGTTTTCCCTGGGATTCTGTGAGGCATTTTACAGGGCCGAGGCTTCTTAAGACACGTGATTAGACCGGCATAGCGCAGTTACAGGTTTATTTTTTCCGTAGTCTGTGTAGCAAGCGTTTCCGTGCAGTTTCGGAGCAAAGAACGAGAAACGATCGAGAGTCAAAGTCCTCGCGAAAAATGGGGCGAGTGAAAGAGCGGGGAGGATGGCTCTCGCTCCAATTTTCCTGCGGCCAAAACCGATCGTAACATCCGTATTTCTTGACTCTAAAGCATTTCAAAAAGAAAAACACAGCGTTTAAAAAGAGCCTAAAGCGTTTACACTCTTGTATTGTTATTGTAAGATGACTAAGATGCGACAGGTTAACATTTTAATCCAGTAAACTTAGCGGCGACCATTTTTCTTTTAGGAATCCAAGTGGAAAAGATGCAAGAGGCTTATATCTGGAGAGCAAAAAATCAAAAAGACTCAAATCTCATCGAATGACTCAGAAATTCTGAGTATCTACAGGCCTGATCAAGACTGCGCGAGAGTTTTACAAACTCGTTTTGTTCATGCTCCTGTGTCAAAAGAAGAAAAGCAGCTTCCGATCGCTTTTAGTCTCACTGTTTATAAAGGTTCGCGTCTGCTCGACCGAATTCTACGAGCTATTTACATGCCAAACAATGTGTACTGCATCCACATCGACAAGAAATCCCCAGAGGTCTTCCGTAAAGCGATACAAGCCATTATACGCTGCCTTCCAAACGTTTTTATCGCAGCAAACAGTGTTGACGTCATATGGGGACATATTACTGTAGTTCAAGCTCAATTTAGTTGCATGGAAGAGCTTTTGAAATCACAAGTTAAGTGGAAATATTACATTAGTTTAGTTGGACAGGATTTTCCACTTTATGATAACAAGCAGGTTGTAAAAGCATTACAAGCTCTTAACAATACTAACAACATAGAAAGTTTTCCAATGCCCAAAAGTCAGTCATATCGAAATAAATTTGTTTTCATATTAAAGAAACGCCGGATGTACAATACAAAAAAGCCAAAAGGGTCGCCACCACACAATATTTCAATCTATAAAGGATCAACACATATTATTGCTATAAGACAATTCGTCGAATTTGTTCTTTATAGTCAAATAGGAAAAGACTTCTATCAATTCTTAAAAGATTCTCAAATACCAGATGAAACGATATATTCATCTTTACAAAGACATCCAGGAGTTCCAGGCGGAATCAACGGAAATCAACCAACATGGATACCACGGGCCTTGTATTGGATTAGTAAGGAAACCCGCGGCATCTGTCGTGGGAAATGGGTGCGACAGCTATGTTGGATTACCTTCCAAGATTTACGCTGGGCACTGGGAGAAAAAAAGAAAGACAAACTTTTTGTTCATAAGATTCCATTTAACTTCAGCGAGGAATTAATAGAATGCATTCTCGTGGCAAGGCAAGGAAGGAAGTACGACACTGCAATGTGGAAAGAAGAGAAGAGAATATACAATACAACTAGTGTTTACCATTCGACTAAAGTCGCACCAACGGTAAAGGCGAATGGTACTTTAAATATTGCAAAGGAAAAGAAGACAGGACTTCTGAATAAACAGAAATCGAATAATGGCAGGTAATTGGACTAATACTTGCTGTTAATTCAGAGGATAAAGTGAAACGCCTTGGTCACAGTATACTAGAACTGAATGTTGAAGGTGTGTTGTAAATGCAGCTGCTTTTCATGACAGGAAGCACAAAAATACCTATGTCTCAAAAGTATCAAAGCTAAAGGTAACGCAATAACTCGATCAGAACGTACGAAGGGACATTATAATGAACAGTGGCAATGTAGCAAAGCTTAGATATCCAGACAAAAGGTATTATTCACCACTTTCACATTGCCCATAATACACCTTGTTTAAGTGCCGATGCCGATTACTTAGAAATGATATTAAAGAGGGGTGGGGGGGTATCGGCCATCTACTCCTAATGGATTTCTCCTTTCGCATTACGCCTTTGGTACAGGAAATATTTTATAACAGATGTACATATGTATCCTTAAGGACTGAATTAATAGTCTCTATTTATCATTATCATCATCAATGATCATCATTATAATTGTGAATACACTCCTTTTATAAATTAAAATGTCTCACGTTTGTGGCCAATTCTAATAAACCGACACTGAGTCTACTTTCATGTTTGGAGCCTAAAACGTTCCCAACTTGACTTTTTGTTAACGTAAAGTGCGTGTGGAATTTCAGGAAAGCAATACAAACTTGAGCAGGAAACCTGTAAAAGATCATTGTAATTTGCACCTTATGAATCAATTTTCTTTCACATATGGCCCAGCTAGACTTTACTTAAATTACGCCGCACCAGCCCACTTTTGGCTACGAGAGAACTAAAATCAATACTGATGAAATAGTTTAAGATTGTTTTAAGATCAAGGAAAAAATATTCGGCACGACACCCTTTGACGAAAAAAAAAAAGAACATCCCTCTTAAATGTCAACGAGAAAAACTTTCACATGGCTGGAAAAATGTTCATCCCCATAACTATTCTAAGGGCCTGTTTACAT